GACGCTACTGAATAAAGAGTGAGAAAAGCTATGAGTGTTTTAGTAGTTTTAAAACAGTGTCAGAAAAGACATTAAATGGAACGTTCATTTATTACCCAACAGCAAGTTGAAAAAATTCACAGCAAAATACGGGGAGTGACAGCTAATTAAGAAATCAAGCAACAAGTGTAATAGGGGCATTTTCCGAGATGTATATTGCTGCTTTTAAACAAAAGCTAAAATACCTTTAATGAGCACTTTAAAATTTTTTTCAGTTAAAAATTATCGCATAACTCGGGAAAAGTGATCGTTCCTGCTTGTGTTGCAAATTATGACTAATATTCTGCGAAGCTTAACAAATATTAAGATAAGTAGCGTTGATTACACGAAAGATTTCGGCCGAAGAATACTACTCTTACTAAATCTTAATAAGAGGTTTTAGAAACCTAAGAAAAAGAGAACACAAGAAAATTTTGAAATGCTGTATCAGTCGTCTAAAAATAGTTTTTATTACCGGTAATTTAGTCGGTATTACATTACTTTTTAGTGAAAAAAGTTTTACAAGACATTGAGTACTATTTTGAAAATTGAATCAAAAATAGTTGACATAGTAGAATTGAAGCTTAAGGCTAACGAAAATATTTCCACTCATGTTTTATTTCTTAATACAGTTTCAATATCGTACAACGTGGTACAAATGTCGATGGTATATAACTGCTGGAAAGGTGTAGAACTGATCGTAATAACTTCATATTTTGATTCGGTGAAAAAATTTGATTTTGAAACGCTGTTTTCCCAAAATTAAAGATCTGTAGTAGATATAAAAAGCCATTAGGCATCTGCACGTTTGCCTTATCTATTCAGCAGCGCTGAACAACAACAGTAGCAGAAAATCACAATCACAGAGTGTGCATATAATACACATTTAACGTTCCAGTGGTGATGTTCTTTTTTTTCCTGTTTAATTTATGTATTCTACGAGTTTTTCAACCAGAAAAAGTACATAAACAATAAAATTCACTCATTTGAAAGTAATTTCGGTGTGATTAATTATACAAAAATATGGTAAACCTAACAATTACAATTTTTTTAAATGAAAAAAAAACAGAATTCCTATCA